TGTTTTGTGATGTATTTGATACACCTTGTTTTACTATGGTTTGATGATGATGTTTTGGATAATAGTTTTATAAAATTAAAAACAAAAAATTTTAGTCTTGATTTGGGATGTTACAACTCTCAAACCTTCAACGTTCATCTTTCTCAAACATTGAACACTCCTAAGCCTCTCTAAAAAAACGATTTCCTCAACCACTCATGCTTGGACCCCGATAAAAGAGGTAGCCTTGAACCCCGATAGAAGAGGTAGTTGGTAGCCTTGGGATGTATAGGAGGACCGTATTGTTAATGACTCCGTAAGTGGGTCATCTTTTTGAAACAAAATCACCCAATGATTCCATAATGAAATGAGCCAAGGTTGATACCAACGCAAAGATCAAATTTTCAGCAAATGGAAACACACAAACAAATTGGTAGTATAACTTTAGAAAAAATTATATATGTGGTATATTCAAGCTATCCGGAATCTCCAAAATGACTATCGGAATTCAAATATGAAAAATCGAATATCCCACTAATTGGAGTTTTTAGTGAGTTGGCCTCTATATATTAGTCTTTTTACTATTTTAGACTGAAGACAATACGATCATATTTATCAAACAAACAACTAATATGTTAGATCTAGCAACCCAATAACCATTTGTGTAATGGGTTCTACTATCACTACCCCCTTTTTCCTGACTCTACCTCTCCAATCATGACTTGTTTGGTAGTTGACTTTCAACTAACTCTTTTTTGTAGCTTTTTTTTACTTCCAGGTTTTTTATCCAATAAATAAAAAGTATTACATTGAAAACATTAACTACGGATTTTTATGCGTATTCAACTTTTTCATGTATATGGATGATATTAATGTTTTGAAGACTGTGATTTATTTATAAAAAGAATAAATTTGCAGATTATGAACAAACTACAATTACATTGAAGATTGAACACTATTAATCCATTTAAACAACTAATAAACCAAAACATTTTATATAAACCGAAACATTTAATTGGTATATTAACAATAATCATCACAACATTTGTTCACCACCGGAACCAACTTCAATAAACAAACTACTACCGACAACAACTAACCGGCGGTAACTAAACCACGCCAAAGATAGAAAGGGAGAAAGAGAAATCAAAACAAAGATCACTGGAACCACCATTTACCATCGTCAAACACCTTTTACCATTTCAACCATCATTAACCACCATTCAACACCTTCTGAATATCTTGAACCACCATGGCCGGATTGAGAAAAGCGAGCCACTCATAATTTACGCCGGAGACATAACGATATATCCGGAAAAGACAGAACGAGAGTAAAAGAGATTGTGAGAAACACGACTGGAATATCGCGAGAAAGACCGTCGTCGGAATTCACCTCTTGTTGTTGGAAATCGCATTTAGAAGCTGTCGGAATTCGAATTTTGTCACTGAAAATCGCTTCTTGTATGTTACTCCCTTATTGGCGGCTGATTTAACATGTTAGGCTTTTGAGAAAGTAACATTTTTATATCTTAGAATTTTATATTTATAGTCCGTTAGATTAAATTTTTTTCATCTTAACCTTTTGTTCCAAGTTTACATAAATGCATATATTTTGTTCCAATTAAATAATGGCTTTCACGTGGAAGGTTCTATCTACAAACTATAATCGAACGTATCTAAGTACTGCATTTTTTTACTTTTTTATTAAAATAATTGAAAATATTTAGTTATGTTAATACATTATTTTTTCAGTTTAAAAAATATTGAATTATTTTATATAAAAGCTTATGGTTTTTGTCTTTGTGCAACATTATATTAAATATATCTATTGTGATTTTTGTATATAGATATGTTTAAGTTGTTCGGAATCAACTTGTCTGCTTGCGATGAAGATGTTTCTACTAAAAAATCGTAATTTTCCACCGATCAGGTTATATAATTATACTACATTGTGATGTTTTGAAATAAAAAAATAATATTCTAAGACATATAAAATTCAATTTCAGATGTTCAGGTCTCGTGAGGAATTGTTTGAATGGACACAAAACACAGCATGATCTCTAGGATATGTCATTATCACAAAAAGATCAAAAGCATATGTGAACGGATTCGTGTATAAAGTCATACTTGCATGTGATCGTAGTGGAGAGTTTAAAGCTACTAACACAATTAGAGCATCTGAAAGCAGAAAGACTAATTGTAAATTTGAATTAAAATGAAAGTATTCAAAAGTATTGGATCAATGGACGCTAAGGGTAAAATGTGATGAACATAATCATGCACATGCACAACATATGGAGGGTCATCCATTTGTACAACGATTATCTGTTGATGAGAATCGTTTGGTGGCAAATTTAACAACAAAGCATGTAGCGCCACACCATATCTTGTCAACATTGAAGGAGCAAAACGAAAACAATGTGTCGTTAATTAAAACAATATATAATGCACAAAAAAAGATTCGCATGCACGAGAAAGCTGGAAAAACTCCAATGCAGGTTCTTATGTCCATTTTGCACAACAATAATTATATCTATGAGCTTACTACAGGTGCTTCAAATGAGTTGGAGAATTTATTTTTTGTTCATCCAACATCTTGGAAGATATGGCGTGCATTTCCACATGTATTGATAATAGATGCCACATACAAAACGAACAAATATAATAAGCCGCTTGTTCAAATAGTTGGTGTGAACTCAACTCAAAAGACATTCTCTATAGGTTTTGCCTTCATACATAGAGAAAATCAGGCCAACTATACTTGGGTGTTAAATTTTCTAAGGTCAACACTTGAGAATTTCATGCTCCCACGTGTAATAATCACAGATAGAGAGTTGGCACTCATCAATGCGTGTGAAACAGTTTTTCCGTATGCTTCCCGATTACTGTGTAGATGGCATATTGAGCAAAACATTTTGAAACATTGCAACAAAATTGTAACGACCCGTCTCTGGTACGTTGCTTTTATAGTATTTATTTTTGAAGTTTGTAGAGGAACTTGGCGAGTCTATGTCCCGACTCGTCGAGTAGGGTCGCAATGTTGATCAGCTTATAGATCGGCGACTCGGCGAGTCCATATTCGGGACTCGGCGAGTCGGCCTGCCAGGTAGAAACCCTAAATCCCCGGGTTTGCACCCTATTTAAACCACCTTATCAGCCCCAAACTCGCCTCTTTCATCCTCAAAGCGTTATCTAAGCAAACCCTAATCATCCCATTAAGTTTTTGAGCATTCTTGGTGTAATTCTTGAAGTTTTGAAGAGAAGAAGAAGGCTAAATCCAAAGAAGAAGAAGAAGATCCAATTCCTTGCTTCCATCTCAGAGTACTTTGAGGTAATGATAAGTTTCTTCCCGTTTTGTTGATAGATTTCCCTTTATAAGCATATTTAGCCCATTCTTTAGCTTGTTCATAGTAGAGAAATCATATTGGATGGATTAGCTTTCGAATCTAGCCATGTTTCAGTTCCAAAAACGTAGATCTATCAACTTTATGGAGCCATTTTGCATGATAGCCCTAGATCTACTCTTCCAAGTGCCTTTCTAGCCTTTATACCCTTTTGTATGCTTTTGTACACGTAAAGTTGGGAACTTTACATGGTTAACCAGCCTTAGGAGCTCAGATCTATATATTGTATCCAGTGGTTTTGAGCAGAATCGAGTTTTTAGTAGTTGTATGCATGAGACTCAGCGAGTCGTTCTTCGGACTCGGCGAGTCGAGTCGCGAGTCCTCGATTCTTCCCCTTTGAGTGATTCCGAGTGGGGACCAGTGAGTAGTGTATGGACTCAGTGAGTTAGAGGTTAGACTCAGCAATGGAGGGACTCGACGAGTTGTTCATGCAACTCGGCGAGTCCAAGGTAATCTTCTTATGATTCAAGAACAACTCGTCGAGTTTTTCATATGACTCGGCGAGTCGGATGCAGATGACCTGAGTGTTGATATAGAATGGGAACTCGTTGAGTGTAAGCCATACTCGACGAGTAGCAGCGAGTAGGGTTGAGAAAGGAGAGCAGGGACTCGGCGAGTTGGCAGCCCAACTCGGCGAGTCAGGTCAACTGTAAAGTTGACTTTGACTAGGAAAGTTGACTTTAGCAGGGGTAAAAGAGTCATTTTACCCCAATACAGTTATTAGTATTTGATTGAGTGTATTTGTGGATTTGTAGCCGGAGAGATACCAGAGTAGCAGCAGATAGTTCCCGGAGCCACACACTCAGCAGCCAGATCACGAGGTGAGTTTCCTTTCAGTAGGAACGGGTCTAAGGCCACAATGCCGACCCGTTTAGCTAGCAGTAGTTTCCGGACTTCGGTCTGATGCAGATTCTAGTATGTTTGATGCCTTCGTGGCTCAGACAAGATTTTGTGTTATGTGTTCCGGGTTACAGCCCGATGTAGTATGCTATCTATGTGCTCATGTTAGTTGATATGCTTATGTGATGCTATGTTCAGTATGTTCCGGACTTTTGTCCAATGCAGTCAGTTCCGGACTTCGGTCCGATGCAGTTAGTTCCGGACTTTGGTCCGATGTAGGAGGCAAGGCCTCAGTAGTTCCGGATTTCGATCCGATGCAAAGGGCAAGGCCCTGGTTAGTTCCGGACTTTGGTCCGATGCAGTTTCCGGACTTCGGTCCGATGCAGTGGGCAAGGCCCAGTATGTGTTTATATGTATTATATGGTATGTGGTAGTTTGGGGGAGCTCACTAAGCTTTGTGCTTACAGTTTCAGTTTTGGTTTCAGGTACTTCTGCAAGCAAAGGGAAGAGCTCGGGTTGATGGCATCGCACACACCATAGTTTCAGCTGTCCTTGGAGTTGTTTTTAGCTTTCATAGATGTGATTTGATACAGCCTTGATATAGTTTACTCATAACCCTTTGCTATTGTTTTTGAGATTTTGACGTACGAGTTTTACCTTATGATATTACCATGGTGTTTTCAGTAATTATTAAACAAAAATTTTTGGGTCGTATTTTGGAATGTTTCAAAAATTCTCAAGTTGAAAAGTGATTGGGAGTCCTTTAGAATACAATGGATGTTACTAGTTGAATCTCCAACATGGATGGCGTATAAAGAAAACTATGAACGACTTCAACCAATGTTTACAGATTATCCACGTAAGCTTGTTTGTTTACTATGTTTTAAATCAAAACCTTCATATTACTATGTATGTACTTATTGGTTAACTTATTTTATTTCGCTGGTGCTTTGAGATACGTAGAGGATACATGGTTAAATAAGCACAAAGAAATGTTTGTGTCGGTTTGGGTTGATCAACATCTAAATTTTGGAAACCGCACATCCAATAGAGTTGAGAGTGCACTTTCCAAGTTAAAGACATTTTTGGACTCCCCAAATTGAAATCTAGATATATTTGTGCAAAATAATACTGAAATTGTGCAGTCACAGGTAACTTCGATCAACGAAAGTTTTGAAAATAGCATATGTTATCGCTACAATCACCACAATTTGAAGTGCTTCCGGTTACTGCGTGGTTTTGTTTCAAATGAAACTTTAGATATAATATTAGGAGTGTTTCAAAGGTTGAATGATCTAAATTCAGACTCCTCAAATTGTGGTTGCAAACTTCGTAACAGTTGTGGGTTACCATGTGCTTGCATACTTTCTGGCTACTCGAATTCAGGTTCGTACGTTCAACTACCACATGTAGATATTTTTTAAAATGTTATGTAAATAATTATTTTATATTTCAATACAGGTGAAGATATACCCTTGGATTCAATAGATATCTTTTGGAGGAAGCTTGATATTTCAGATACGACACCTGTAGTAGACGACAATATTTTGTGTGATGATATAGTTGAAAAAATTAAAGAAAGCTTCAAGAAGCAATCAAAAGCCGGGAAACAAGCTTTTATGAGAAAGCTACAAGAGATATATGATCCGCAAAAAACTGACATTGGGGAGCCTATAGTTCAAGAAAACACTCGTGAACGACCAAGTGTGAAGAAACACCAGAAAAAGAAAGTCAATCCTCCAAATCAAGCTATTAGTGGATACAACTTCTCAACCACATCAGAGTTTGTTGGGTTCGATTTAAATAAAGAACCTGACTTAAATGATGAACCACCGAGCCATAATCCGTTCCAACTAAGAAGTATTCCAGATATATTTCATGATTATATTGATGATATACATGATGTAGAAGATGATGGAAATTGTGGGTTTCGAGCGGTAGCTGTCTGTCTAGGGTATAATGAAGACCAGTGGCTTTATATTCGAAAACAATTGCTTGAAGAGTTAGAGAGTCAATATTACGCATATCATAGAGTTTTTATTGATGGGTTCAACGACGTATACGATTCATTGCGTTGGTTTGAAACACCTGCACCTTCTCGATATTGGTTACATATGCCTTTGACTAGTTACCTGATTTCCAACGAGTTTGGTGTGATCGTTCATTGTTTAAGCCACGAACAATCTACGACATGCTTCCCTCTTTGGAGAGGTCCCGAAGAGTTTCAACCCTACCGAGCCATTACATTGGCATTTGTAAATGACATCCATTATATATCGGTGTTTTTGAAAGGAAATTACCCAATGCCTCCTACCACAATGTATTGGAATGCCCATTGAAGCTCGTCAGCATCTACATGGGAAACTATGTATTGGCCTCGTTTTGAATTATACAATCAACTTTACAATCAACTTAGGCCTCGTAGTTCTGTAGCACCTTGGATACATATCGATTAAGTGAGAATGTATTTGAACTTTTTTATTATCTGTTGGGTTGAAATATTATTTTATTATTATCGTGTGTTAAATATAATTCTTTTATATAAAATAATTTTGTTAGATGCATGTAAATAATATATAACAAACAGTTTTTGTTCTATAAATTTAAAATATAAAAATATTTTATTGATTTAAGTTTTTATTGACACATGCAAGTAATTTGTATTATTTTTCATAAACCAGAAAACGATATAGTTATATTTAATTTTCATTAACATTGAACATTATGTTATATGAGTTATCTAAAACTATAATAAAATCAATTCATTGTATATTAAAAAATTAACAAGTAACATTATCTTATATAAGTTATTTAAAACTATAATAAAATAAATTTACTATATATTAAAAACTTAATAAGTAAAATCTATCAAGTGAAACTTCATTGGAAATTAAAGGGACGTAATTGAAAATTCTATTAATCTTATAGCTTTTAATCGGAAATGGATCGTTATTTAATATTAAAATAAACAATAACAAGTAAAAATAATTAATCAATCAATATCCCATGATTATTTGTATATTTAAAATTACCCCTAAGAAAAACTATTTATTAGTATTAAAAGTCAAATAATCACTTAATCATTATAATAAAAAAAAAAGATAAATTATTACATAATCATTTTAATCAATTAAAGAAAAAGTTAATATAATGATTAGGAGGTATTAGTAGAAGGTAAAGGGGGTATGGTTAGCCTATGCTTTGTGTAATTTATTCAAACCATAAAAATAATCTTTATTATTTGTTCTGAGATTGGACAAGTGTAAAATACACCCAACGGTATTTTTCTTAATTTACATTCTATATTATTTAATTTAATACACTGAGTCAAGTAGCCAACCCCACTCTGTTCATTGTCACAACTCCCAAGTCCCTCCCCTTATATCTCTTTAACACAGAAACAAAAACCCTCCGAGGATTGTTTCTCCCGCCGCTTGGAAACCAAAACAAGAAAAAAGACCTCAGCGCATCGGTACGCCCATCGCCCTGATGCTGCTGCTGTTGGGTCTAGCTTTTGGATCTCTCTTTTAGCTACAAAATTATTCATAATCAATGCCATCTTTACTTTGTACTTATTTTTTTTTTTAGTAAAATTTTGTTAGGTTTTGATATTTCAGATTTGTTAGTAGTAATTTATGTTAGTTCTATCTATTTATTAAAGGCAATGCAAGATCATTTTCTATTAGGAATAGGCACATATTTTAATAGGGTTTTGTTGCATTGTTAAGTATTTCATTTCTGTTAGTGATTTATATTTATTGACCATGAATATCTTGAATAGAATATCTCTTCAAGATCAATCCATGGAAGACTTACAAGTGGAAGTCATAATCGATATTCTCTCAAGACTTCATGTGAAGACCGTCATCCATTGCAAAAGTGTATGCAAGAAGTGGATGTATATCATTTCTGACTCTTACTTTTCCAATCTTCACCTCTCGAGATCACCTACAAACCTCGTGATTCATCATAATTTAGGATTTGATACGAATAGTTATAAAAAAACAGGCACTTTAACATGGGTGGACCTTGAAGACGACCCTCTCATGACCCTTGCTCTTAATCATGCTGATTGGATTCTTGTTGACCGGGATTCCCCTAAAAAGATTTATGCTTTTGATTTTGACAAGGAGATGTTTGATTTGTTCCCATCTCCTCCCTCTTCTGAAGCTATACGTGGAAGTTTGGGGGTGATAAACAGTTGCTTATGTCAATGTGAAAGTTACAATTCTAAATTGATGATTTGGGTGATGAAGGAATATAGGGTTAAGAAATCTTGGAATAAAGAGGTGGTGATTGAGAGAAGTATCAGCCCTGGTCTTCCTTTGTGGTGTGTGGAAGTTGTGTTTGTAATTGAGGGTTTTAAAGATGGGGTCTTTTCGTTGTGTGCTATTTGTTTATTGTCCTCAGAGGAAAACAACTGTAGACTTTGTAAAATTTGATTGCTCCTTCAAATTCAATGCATTGGTTTATCGTCCTAGTTTTCATAGACTACAAAACTTTGAGAATGATAGAGTGGATGTGTTTTAAAGGTCATCAATGAACATTGATGGTCGTTTTTGTATCAAAAATAGTTGTTTTGAGTGTAGTATTTTAGTATTGTCTTCTAATTTTATTTAGTGATTTCCTATGCTTTTATAAAAGTAATCTATTTCATCTTCACGTCCTAAGTCAAAGGTTTCAATTACATCCATATGACTATAAGGCCATCTGCAATACCTCTAACGAATGTATTCGTTGTTGACGTGGCCACGAACCACGATCACGAACATCATCCTAGCGGGCTGCGGTGGCTTGTGGTCATGATGATTTGTGGTGGGGGGAGGACGACGATCAATCGGCTCTCTCTCTCTCTCTCTCTCTCTCTCTCTCTCTCTCTCTCTCTCTCTCTCTCTCTCTCTCTCTCTCTCTCTCTCTCTCTCGGAGAGTACTCCATGGTTTTGGGGTGGCTCGTGGTGTTGGCTAATTTGGAAGCTCCGCACGACCCTTGGTGTGGAGAGTAATGTAGATGGCCTAACATGTACGGTTTACAAAAACATGGTTTTTATGAATAGATATGAAATTAATAAGAAATATTAATGTCAAATTTGTAATTGAAACGTAAAGGGTGTAAGATTGATTTCTCCACATCATCCAAAGCGAAAGCCAAAAAAGGTTGTGTGGTCTATCTCTCTCTCTCTCTCTCTCTCTCTCTCTCTCTCTCAAATAGTGTCATTTCAAGATTTTCGCAGATGACCATTTACGAACAAAAATAATGAATATTTTGGGTCAGTAGTTCGTTTAAATTTGTAAGGGGTTATAGATTTGTTTTTTCTTTATAAACTATTTATCATACAATTATATACTTAAAAGAAGTTTGTCATTTGCCATATTTACATTTCAAATTCTTTAGTACATTTACAAAACACACAAGATTTTTTTTTAAAGCCAACTCAAAAAGTAACTATCCTAATACTAAATTTGCATATCTCGTTTTAAAAAGGACTTAACCCTCAACTTTAGCCGTGTGACACATTTCAATCAACCCTATGCTTTCAGAGGCCCTAGGTGTAAAATAAATAAATAAATAAATAAATAAATAAATAAAATAAATAAAAATTATAAAGAGATATATTTCAATCCCTTTACAAAATCCAACCAACCAATATGGATAACAAAACCTTTTGTTCATAACTTTTAAAGATTCCAAATCTCACAAAAACAATCCACAATACAAAGTCCTAACATTAAATTCATTTGGTCACAAACATGACCCGACTCTGTTTTATGGGCATTGGATGCTATGTCGGGTTTGGATCTCATAATGTGTATCTAAATATATTGAAGATATTCTGACGGGGGATTTTAAATAAATCCGAAAAAATAGTCAACACCACTTATTGAAAACTATTAATGGTAAACTTAATTAAAAAAAAATATTAAATATGTAATGATGACTTTATTTGAAAGAAAGATTAATGGTTACGGGTCTTACTAGTTGACCCCAGATTTTCTTAGAAAACTCATCATTAATGATTTTTTTAGATATAAATTCCGTATATTTATGATATCAATAGCTTTTATGATTACTGTTAATTTTTTTGAAACTCTTACTTATCATTTAATTCATAAAATTTTTATTTATTATATTTTTTATTTTTTTTATAATCAAATAATAATACAAACATGTCAACGTTTTCTATATATTTTAATATTTTCTATATTTTAATATTTATATAAACCAAAAAATAAAAATAAAATGATATTAAATATTTAAATGAAAACTAAGTATTATTATTATTATATCGTATTTGAAGTCACTTATTATTATGCTTTCATATAAAAATGATTTTAATAAATTGCACTAAAAAACCGAAAATAAATTAATTTTTTTTGTTTAAAATATTTTATTTTATATATTTGAAAAAAAATAAATATTAAGGATCTAATATTATGTAATGATAATTAATAAAAAGATAATTTTTTGTTAAAGATTAGCTTATTTTAAGAAAAAAGCTAAAATAATTATTAAAGTAGAACCAAATAGTTAAACTCATTTCAAAACTATTCTAATGTATTTGCTTAGAGTAAATTACAGAAATTATCCTTGTGTTTTGGTTTTATTTTCAGTTTTGTTTCATAATTTAAAAATTAATAGATTGTACTGGTGGTCACGCAACCCTTTCCCCTGACCTTTCGTTTACCTGCTTTTGCTTTGACCCTCGATGTCATCTCCTTCACTGGTCACCAAGATTCCGTCATCGTTGTGTTGCTCTATGAGCTATTCCACGGAGAAGTTAGTCTGAAACCAGAAGAAAAGGCCGAATTCCACCTTCGCCTCATCGTCGGTCTCCCCCGCTGCATGAAGTCGCCACTCCACAGGTATGTATTTTGCTTTCCGAAAATCGAGTATTTTCCGAACTCAGGTTCTTCCTACTCTTTTCTGAAGTCGAATTTTTTACAGGATATTTCTTTGATCATTTGTAAATTGCATATGTTATGAATGCACATTTGATTCATATGTAATTGGAAGAGCACTGCAACCAAGAACAGGTGTCCACCGTCAGTTATCATTAGATACATTTGTAACTGGTGAGTTGAAGTGTTTCATTTGATGTTGTTTTCATTTTCCGGTTGTGAGTTGTTTGTTTTAATTTTCCAATTTTGTTTTTCATCGACACTAGAACCGAGCCAAGAGGGGCAATTACGTTTTTGTTTGCTTAACACCCAATTGTTTTCAATTTCTTCCCCGATTAAAATTTTCTTTGGTGGCCTTTCGATTCCATGATGCCACCGTAAGAAGATTCCACATGCAGCAACCCGACGGTGAAAGGTATTTCGACGATGGTAGTGGGTAGGGATAGAGATTGATGATTTTTTTTACCCAAAATAATGAAAATGGAGACATATTGGTGGTGGGCCTGTGTAACATACACGTTTTGAAATCGTATTTTGTAATGAATAAAATTGTGAAATATTATGTAAAATTGAGTGTTGAGATCTAACAGATGGTTTTTACTAGAAATGAAGTAAAACTATGTTTAAAAATAATAATATTAAAAATAAAGTCAAAATTATCCGACGAAGTCTAAACGAAATGTAACACCCCAAAGTTTGGAAAGCCAAGAAAAGAAAGAAAACCTCAAGTTTTTGGGGGAGACTCGGCGAGTCCATGGAGGGACTCGGCGAGTCTGAGCGGGATCCGGGTTGTGGTGTAAGCGACCGACTCGGCGAGTCGGCCAAGGAGACTCGACGAGTTGGGTCTGAGCGAGGAAAAACCCTAAATCCGGGATTTGGAGCCTATTTAAGCATCTCATTCGCTTTCCTAGGGTTCCTTTATTGAAGACTACCCCAGAACACCAAACCCTAGCCGCCATATCCGTTTTTGAGCTAGATCTTGCCTTGTAGAGTGCACTAAAGCTTGGAGAAGGAAGAAAAGCCTAGGAGGTGCAAGAAGGGACTGTAGATCCGAGATTGAGAAGACATTTCAGACCAGTTGGAGGTAATAAGTTGTTGCTTGGACTCCCTTTGCACCTAGATCTATTCTTATATGTGAGTTTTGGTCATTGTTGGTATGATATGTAACCAATCCGAATTGGAGGTTCAGATCTGAGGTTGCTACCTCAGATACATGCTTGTTTTGGTCTTGAATCCCCTAAAGTATCAGCCCTTGGTATGTTGAAGAAGTATGTTTGCCATAAACCCTAGTTTAGGGTGTTTTGAGCCTAGATCTCTTAATCTACACGTAAAGTTTGCCACTTTACGTGGGGGATAGTCCCTAGAAATATGGATCTATGAGTTGGAAACTCTGTTTGGCTCGAAAAGCCACTGCATGGATTGAGGACTGGATAGACTCGGCGAGTCCTTCGAGTGGACTCGGCAAGTAACTTGAAGATGAGGAGGAACTCGACGAGTAGGATGAACAGCTCGTCGAGTCGGATGAAGTCAGGCATGGACTCGGCGAGTTGGATGAGCAACCCGACGAGTTGGTTGAAGATTGTCTAGGACTCGGCGAGTCTGTTCTTGGACTCGGCGAGTCAGATCGTGAAACCCTAACCCTTCAAGTTGAGGCTCGATTCAGTGAGTCGGGTGGTGACTCAGCGAGTTGGGCAGGATAGGACTTGGAACTAGTTGGACTCGGTGAGTCATGGACTGACTCGGCGAGTCGAGTCGCGAATAAGAAAGACCCTGAGCATATGAACTCGGCGAGTAGGGTTGACCCGGAAGGTTGACTTTGACCAGGATTTTGACCTTGACCAGAATTGACCTAGTGACCTTTATAGGTCAGTTTGACTAAGTATTATATTGATATTGGTAGCTTGAGGAGCTAGTGGAGCAGCAGTCGAAGTTAGAGGCCAGGTAGCAGTCAAAAGGTTTAGCAGCAGCAGTTCAGCAGCATCAGGTGAGTTTCCTTCCAGTAGGGACGGGTCTAAGGCCACAATGCCGGCCCGTTCAGTTAGCAGTAGTTTCCGGACTTCGATCCGATGCAGTAGTTAGTATGTTTGATGCCTTCATGGCTCAGACAGGATTTATGTGTTATGTGCTATGTGTTATGTGTTCCAGGCTAGGGCCCGATGTAGTATGCAGTATATGTGTTCATGTTAGTTGATATGTTATGATATGCTATGTTCAGTCAGTTTCCGGACATTGGTCCGATGCAGGGGGCAAGGCCCCAGTTAGTCCGGACTTCAGTCCGATGCAGGGGACAAGGTCCCAGTCAGTTTCCGGACTTCGGTCCAATGCAGGGGGCAAGGCCCAGTTAGTTCGGACTCTGGTCCGATGCAGGGGACAAGGTCCCAGTCAGTTTCCGGACTTCGGTCCGATGTAGGGGGCAAGGCCCCAGTTAGTCCGGACTTCGGTCCGATGCAGGGGACAAGGTCCCAGTCAGTTTCCGGACTTCGGTCCGATGCAGGGGGCAAGGCCCCAGTTAGTCCGGACTCCGGTCCGATGCAGGGGACAAGGTCCCAGTCAGTTTCCGGACTTCGGTCCGATGTAGGGGGCAAGGCCCCAGTTAGTCCGGACATCAGTCCGATGCAGTGGGCAAGGCCCAATATGTGCTTTATATGTTATTGCATGGTATGTGCTAGATTGGGGGAGCTCACTAAGCTTCATGCTTACGGTTTTTAGTTTTGGTTTCAGGTACTCAGTTTTCAAAAGAGGAGCTCGGGAAGATTGCAGTAGACACACCATAGTCAGATAGCCTAGGAATGTTTGACTATGATAATGATATTATGTTTTGAATTAATACTCGAGAATTTATGTTATGACTTATGATACAGTTTTTATAAATATGATTTTAGTAATGTTTTTAAAGAAATTTTTTGGGTCGTATTTTTTGGTCGTTACAAGTTGGTATCAGAGCCTTGGTTTGAGGGATTTGGACATGCTCTCGAGCGTGTCTGGACTCAAACTGAGGGATTGGTATAAAGATTTTCAAAAATGTAAGGACGGTCTGGTAAAAAGAGAGTTTTGAGAAAGAAAACGGTTTTAGAAAAGTAAAAAGAATTCAGAAAGAAGGAACTTTGAAAAGAAAAAAAAAGTGTGGTGCATGCAATCAGCCGAGCTCAAGTAAGTACTCCCAATTTACCCATACAAGTTATGTTATGATTATCATTATCAGCTTCAGTTTCAGTTCAGTTTCAGCTTCAATAGAATAGCTTGCTAGAATAAGACTAAGGATCTAGGATGATGCCTTATGTGCCTGTTTTATGTGTTTCAGCTTGATAAGAATTGCATGCTAGTATTGAGTAGGCAATAGTAGGATAGCCTGTGTAGGTTATGCCTGATAGCATGAGCTTAGCATTGTATGCTAGTGCAGTTTCTTGTTATGAGAATTGTTTTACCTGAGTATGTTTCCTTTATCCGAATGTTGCTCGCTTTGTGCTTTGTGGGACTCTGAGTGATGGGAGTTAGCCATTAGGTGAATACGTCACATCACATGTGATCAGGGTTGGATAATCTCAGAGTGCTGGATTTGGCCCTACTGCGCAGCTCTCGTCTGAGTCCAACCGTTGTAGGGACGAGACTTTTACTCGAAGGATTATCCGAGCCTCATTACATGTGATGGTATTCAGGTGGTGGCTAATTGGCATTACAAGGAGGCCTTCAGCAGCTGAGGACTATTTGGGTAGAGTCAGAGGTTCCCTAGGGCAAGCCTAGGATGAGAGTAGCAGAGATCAGTAGAAGAGTAAAGGGGACTTGGTGGAGTTGAGGTAACTCTTGAGGAAAGTACGGGTAGATGTGGAAGGTAGTAGGGGCCCATACTACTGAAAGCAGAGGATCCGTACTCGATTCAAGAGGGGCCGAGGCAAAACCAAGGAACTAGTAGAGTGTGTGAAAGATCCCTCAGCGGTAGTGTGTAAATTGATCAGGAATTGTTATATTTTCAGCATGGTGACGTTGCGCGAGATATCAGTTGGCAGTTCAGGTGCAGGAGAGGGGTCTGGCTCGGGCTTTAGAGCCGGGCAGCTTGATGATCAGATGAGGGATTTCATTTCCGCAGAGATTGTGCACAACATCATTGATCAGGCTCTTGTGATCTTCGGTTCAGTTAGAGAGGCCATTGTGGAGCTCATGGACAGTCATCTTGAGGCCTTTAAGGCTGGGATAGTTTCAGGACAGATTGGGGCTCGTCTAGGTCCTGAATCTTATGGAGTTCTGGGATCCATCAGGGAGGGACATCCCATTTCTAGTTCCTGCCATCAGGGGCAGGGGTGAGTGGGGCATTCTGTCTCCAAGAGAGACCTTTGCATGATTGGATAGTTGAGGAAGTTTCGCGAGCCATTCGTGAGGATCTGCCCGACATGGTTGTGAGGACCACTGATAGATTGATAGCGAGACTCCAGGATCAGACAACTACTGTTCAGTCAGCAGGCGTTGCCGTTGGGGTAACGCAGGAGCGAGGGTCGGGCAGGGGGTCGGAAAGGAAGAGGAAAATGGATGAGACTCAGGTAGCCACAGGTTCGGGTAAGAGGCCCAAGGTTTCGGATTTGAGGACAAGGAACTACCAGAGCCGTAGTCGATGCGGGAAGTGCGGAAGGACGCACATGGGTGTGTGCAGGCGTAGGAGTGGTGGCGATGCCGGATTTCAATTGCGGCCAGATTGGCCATTTTAGCAGGATTGCATTA